CACTAGGGATTTTACCTTCTTGAAATAGACTGGGTTTCCAATATCTGTCCACCTAGATTCCAGCCCCTCCAAGATATTGCCAATTTTTCTGACTGGTCTCAACTTGTGCGCTCTACAACAAGAGATAATCATATTTTAGATCTAATCTTTACTAATGACATTGGCCCTCTTTTTTGCTTTCAAAAAGGACCTCTTTGATAGTGACCCCGTATTAATACACTGTTGATTAGAACTTGCCTTTTCAAAATAGACCAGCGCCGTTCTGACTTCATTCCACTACGATTGCGTAGATAACAACTTAATAAATAATTATATTAAATCATTGGATTAGTGTGGCTTTCTCTCCTGTAGCGATGCAACCATTCTTCGCTCTATCATGTCCAAGGTTTCTTAGGACATCATGGAGTCTGTGCCGCGCATATATCTCAAATCTTATTCTGTGGATTCCTTTGTTCATTATTTTCTTCACAGCAGACTAAAAATGTTGAGACGGCAGCTTCGTGACTTATCCACTAGTTCTTTATCCGTTCATTTTAGAATAACAGACGTTTCCGAAATGTCCTCAAGGAGGCGCCAAGCGCGCGATAAGCAACGTGAATGACTTGCAATTAGTGATTCGAACCCCTGCAAATCCGTCGCCAACATCTTACGTCACCGATTCTCCTCCAAGCGCGGTCAAGAAATTTTACCCTACTAGACGATAACAAACAGCCTTTCACTTCAAACCCTTTGTTTTAAATGCCAGATCCTTGCTTAATAAGATGCCTTTGCTTCAGATTCTGCTGTTCATCCATTGTCCAGATATTGTTTTAGTAACTGAGACGTGGGCATCAGCCTCCGTAGTTGACTCCGAACTTTCTCTTCTAGGCTATAATTGCATCCGAAATGATCGCCAAGATAGCCGTGGTGGGGGCAGCTGCGTTTACGTTAAGCAAACACTTTCATTTCTGTCGCCGGACTTCCCTCATTTTTCTTAGGTAGAAGGCAGCTGCTGTCAATTCAATTCAATTCAATTATATTTATTAAAGACCCGTCGGGGTCCCATCAAAGCAAGTAAAAATATAAATTTACATGCAGATTTTAGACGATGTAGGCAAAATCTGCACAAAGTGCAATGCATAATTTTTGAGGTTAGAAGTCCGTTAAGCAAAATGAAAATGAGAAAAAAACGAGGGGTGAAAAAAAAACTCCAAAGCAAAATTTAAAATGATTGTAGTAATTTAACAGGAGAAAAAAAAACCCTCGGAAAAAAAGCATCAGAAAAAAAAGGGAGGACTGGCCTGCATGTGGCGGTACAAAATGGAATAAAGCCCGACATCAACATGGCCGAAATAGATGTCAGCTGTATATGGCATTGTGTAACGGATTTCATAAAATGGTACGTAGGCGGGTCGGTTAGGACTGGCCTGTATCGCCTTGAATAAGAAAAATAAGTGCCGAAGTTGAAAACCATTCTCAAGCCGATAAGAACCCAAATGCGGTCAGTTTCATTCAACCAAGTCCATCCGAACATGGGGGGAGATGCGACCAGACTACTAGTATATGGCGAATATAGAAGGCTTTGTCAAGACCGCCGATGGAGCGCATTCAGTAAGGGCACGATGACAACCAGTCTTGAGGCAACAAGGACCCAGATGCGGTCTGTTACATTCATCAGAGTCCATCCGAGGATAGGGCAAAGGAGATGCGACCAGATTACTGGTATATGGCTAATATAGAAGGCTTCTCCAAGAGTATCGATGGAGCGCATTAAGTGAGGGCATCATGAAGATCAGTCTTGAGGCGATAGGAACCCAGATGCGGTCGATTACATTCATCCGAGTCCAACCGAGGATGGGGGAAAAGAGATGCGACCAAACTATTAGTATATGGCGAATACAGAAGGTTTCGACAAGTGCGTCGATGACGCGCATTCTGTTAGGGCACGATGCATGAACTAAAAATTGCAATAATTAACATTTATGGTGAGGGATATTAGGTAGCGAGACTACTCATAAAGAAAGGAAACGTGAACAGATACGGAAATTTAATAGCGGCATGCTAAATTCCCGGTGGCCCTTTCTCAGTGTCATAGAAAAAGTTGTCTGGGAAGGATGAGGAAAATAAAAGTTTAATTGAGTCAGAATTCAGATAAAGGCGTAGCCTTCTCTTAAAGGTGTGTAGATTTTCAGAAGATCTTATATTTATTGGAAGGTTATTCCAGATTGTCTCCAGGTTGCGCTAAAAATAAGTTCTCCTTACTCGTTGGCTGCGTCTATCGTCCTCCCAACGCCAACGAAAATTTTGATCGTTTACTCTCACAGGCATTTCATGCTGCGGCTGACTCAAGCTTTAAGTATCAATCGGTTGCGGATGACTTTAATCTTCCCGAAGTCCGCTGGTCTCCGCCTTCAGGCCCCATAATTTTCGAAGAAATTCTTGAGGCTGTAGATGTTGGAATGTGGAATCAGGTTGTCGATTTTCCCACCCGAGGCTCAAGCATAATTGACCTCATTTTCTGTAGAGGCTGCTTGCCATCGTCAGTGTCATCCCTAGGCCCACTCGGAGGCTCAGACCATGACAAAGTTGTTCCAAATTTTGAGCCTGTATACGTTTGCACAGATAAAATGTTCAAACATTTGGATGCGATTATTTTTAGATTTGTCACCAGTAAGAAAATGATTAAAGTCGGGACTGAGGTTTTACTACATTTAAATTTTCGCAGCAGGCTGCGAAGGCTTTCCCGTCGATTCCATTTTCAGAACGACGTTTCCGCTCTGCCTATGATTTGTGCTAATTTTGGGCGGGATAAGAGATTTTGTGATAAAAAAAACTGCTAGCGGAAGAGGTCCAATTCACTGAAAACCATTCGTTAAATGTCTCGAAACTTTGCTCCCGAAAAATACGAACTCAAAGAAAGACACAGCATCCCACCCCCCGAGAAAGTCTCGAGAATCCCATATCCGATGCCCTAGTTAACCGCTGATAACTTCAATGCTTTCCCGTCCAAAAGGTTATTGAAAACTCAACCACTCCGCTTCCGACCATCCAGGCACTGACCGGGACAGTTCTCGAAGCTATAAATTTCACTCTTTGGGATGTGACTGTTGCAATTTGGCGTTTACATCAATCTCATAGCCCTGGTCCTGATGGTGTCCCAGTAAGCATTTTAAAAGCCGATGTAAACACGATCTTGCCATCCCTCTTATGCAAGATATTTAATCTTGCTCTTGAAACTGAAACCTATCCTTCCTTGTGGATAGAATCACACATTCTGCCCATTCCTAAGCGCGGCAACTCAACATCATTTGATGGCTTTCGGTCAATAAACACCCTCCCCGCAGTTTCGAATATCTTAGAGACATTGATCAAAGATAAGAGAATGTGTCACTTAACAGAGAATAACCTGCAGAGCGCTGCACAACATGGATCACCTTAAAGCTTGGTCTTGTGACACCTGTCAAATCTCTTTCTTTGACTACGTTCTCCAATCTATGGATAATAGTTTTGCACTTTACACAGTATATTTCGATTTCACTAAGGCTTTTGATCGTGTTGGCCATGCTCTTCTTCTCTTGAAACTGACCTCATTCGGCATAGGTGGCAAACTTCTGAATTTGATATCCTCTAACTTGGGCGCTCGTACACAACGAGTTAAGATCTCCAATGCTATCTCCAACCCCATATGTGTGAGGACTGGAGTCATCAGGGGTAGTGTACTCCGCCCGCTTTTATTTTGCCTCTTTGTTAACGATGTACCAGATATATTTCAAAATGGTAAGCCTTTCATATATGCCAATGATCTTAAATTTTCATATCGATATAAGCCGGCAGATCGTGACATCGTGCTTGAGCTCCTAAAGAGCGACCTACGTGCTTTCGCCCAGTGGTGTCGCACATGGGGCCTTTCTCTTTCTTGGCATAAGTGCTCAGTCATGGTGGTTGGCGACGACCGTCAACCTCAACTAAGCACTGATGGTCACGCCATAAATGTGCCTGAGGTTATTAAGGATCTGGGTGTATCATACTCCAAGAGCCTCAATCTTTCGGAGCACTGTGCCTTGATAGTCTCCAAAGCACGCAGAACGACCGAGTTTATCCTTCGAAACTTTAAAACTGGGGACATCAGAATGCGCCTTTACAACATGTAGGTTAGACCTGGTCTGGAATACTGTGCTACTGAGCGGAAGAAAATAGAATCTGTTCAACACTTTTTTACCAAGAGACTTTTAACCCCGGAACACCGACATTTGTCTTACCTTGAACGTTGCCGGCTTACGGGTCTTGATACTTTATGGTTCCGTAGACCACGAAAGGGATTATTTTTGCTATTTAAACTCTTATATAATCACACATTTGACCCACTCACTTCCTTAAGACATCATATCCACCCACGACGTAAGAGTCACCGTGAAGTCTTCTTATTTCTGCCTCTGGCACGTACTGTTAAATATCGTCGGTTCTATTCTGTAAATGCAATTGCTATTTGGAATAAACTACCAATGAGTGTGAAAACTCTGCAAAATTTTCCTTTTTTAAGAGAACTATTACTCGATTTTTGCATTCAGAAAATCTCCCTCAAATTTTGGGTTCTGAATCCACTGATCGACTGTACCGTAGCGATGGCGTTTGTGTCTCTGAACACTATGGCCGGTCTCACCAGCTGTTCCTCAACGCCTCCACTTTGACCATCCCCAATTTCATGAAAGGAATTGACGTCCGATGATCGCCGATACCGTGAAACCCCCTCCCCTCCTTCTTGACGGTCGAATGTATGCCGCCAGCAGTTTTTTTCTCCTGAACCCTTCAAACCATAAAAACCATCATCAACTATATTTTTATTCTTCAGGAGTTTTTTTTCACTGCTGGTCGGATTTGTGTTTAATCGCTTCCCTTGACAGTGCCTGTAAACAGGCATTTAATAAATTAAATTAAATTAAAAAATCAGTTGCAACCCCACCATCGTTCAAAAGTCCTTAAGGAACCAATGTTCATCACAGGATGAGGAGGCTTTCTTAACAATGTACAGGACTGACATCGCTGATTTGGCAATCTTTTGCAGCGGTAGGAGGATTCAGGTGAGTTCGTGATGCACGCAACTAAATCCTTCAGGGCGCCCAATTTTTGCAAATGGTATACTATCTAGATGTTAAATCATATGCTGCAAAGATTTGGTGCTGAGAATCTTATAATGTTGCACCTGTTAACCTTTTTCATCAAAGGCCTCTAATTCCGCCATTCCTTGAATTATTTTAAGTTTGCGTACTAAGGCATCCAGATGACTTCAGCCCGGATGGCACCCACAGCTTGATGTTATCGACAACCATGGCGGTATTAAAATAGTTTATTGGCAAAGTCGTTGACATATAAATTGAACAGAGAAGGGGCTACGTACGAATTTCTGGGAAAACCGATCTCAACCGCAACCTTCATCGCTTGTTGGTCACAAACACAGACGATTTGAGGACGATCGACTTGAGGGCTTCAAGTGCACCTTAGATGCTTCTCCCAAACAAGTGTTCGGTAAAATTTGTATAGGGGTCGCCTATGCGGTACACTGTTGAATGCCTTCTAAGAGTTGGTGGGGACCACATCCACCGCATTCAACCCATAAATATTCCAGTCCAGTGTTTGGCAGATTATGGCAAGGTTTCCACGCAGAAACTCCATGAGCCTGATTGCTTTGCTCCAGTTTATCTGGAAGAACACGTATTAATAGAGTGTTTCCCCCAAACTTTGAATAACGTATTTGCACCTGGTCTTAGGTTGTTAAGACCACTCGTTGTTTTGCGGTTGCCGAATGCTTTTGGTTGCGCTCGGGAATTTCCCATTAACGAACTCTTGCGACAAATTTGGTGCTGTTTGTATGTGGCCAATCAGGCGTTATCATACTGTTATCAGCGTCAGTAAAAGCGTATCGGACATCGGCTCAAAGCAGCCCGAAAACTATTGGGGAACACATAAAAATACTATAGTATGGGCCTGAGGTTATTTGTTGACGTTGATACAATGACCAAGGTCACTTCTTGGGGTGCATTCCGCGGTACGTCATTCTAACTAAAGCCTCAAAGTCACGTAGGATCTTCTGACACAGTAAGGATTCGAGTCCGTTGGTGATATCCTCAGTTTGGAGATCGGGTTATGACAGAAACTGGCGCTCATCACTCAAGGCCTAATGACCTTGGCCTCCAGGCCGTAGTCCTCGCTAACTCGCCTCCGCGTTACATTCGGTGTTCAATCCCCGTTAGCTTCCCGTGAACCTACCGCGGCCGTAGTAGTCCCGACAACTGAGTCTGGCCTCGCGCTCAGCTTACCTTGAAGAAGCTGGAAATTATGCTTGGGAAATTATAAGATAAGGACAATCGATGGTTGTTGTCCAGCTTCGTTCAAATTGTTGGCTCCTTAAAGCGGTGACGCATGGAAGACGCAGAGGTTTTTGCGGACTGCTGGCCTTTTGGCGGGAGAGCCCCACACCACCCGCTGGGTGTAATAATGCTTTAAATGACCGACTGCGACCTGCACAACTTCACGAAACGTGTTTGCGCTGGCCGCTAGTCTAACGTCTGAGAGTTCTGACCACGACGAGATAGGCACATCTAGATATATGTTACTCTGTTAGGCTATAAGCCAAGACCGAATCTCTCCAGAAATTTTGTCATAAACTTGTTTTTGTCCCCCTCCCGAGGGATTATTCCACTTATTTTGTTCGTTATATATCCGCGCCCCTCACGACTAACTCCATTTTCTTACCGCCTTCTTAGGCCCATGCCTTACTTTCGGTTTGTTTGCCTCATACCTGATATCTCAACTGCGCCAAATGTTTGTTTCGACCTTGCAGATCATGACAGAGAAGCGGACTAATGCCTTTAATCTGAAGCTTGTAATGGATCATTTCAGTAAGGCGGTGACGGATGATGATACCGACGTCCGTCTTGAAGACTACTGTGTTGGTTATGACGAACTCTCCAAGTTGGTTACCACCTCATCTTGCTCTTAACCTGGTGTTCAGTCTATTAGATGCACTCGGAAGAATAATGTACTTTGTTTTGCGTGATGTTAACAAGAAGCTGCAAATCCTCAATAACCTTCGAGATCCTAAGACCAGCCCCGACTGTTATGAAAATTTCGTCTCTGTTGGTAAGATGTGTGCGTTCGAGACAAGTCAGTACAAGGACAATAAGCCGGTTGGAAAACTACTTACCTATGGCAGCCGGAATCTCCTCCGTCTACACCGGGCACTCCTCTTCATAATATACCTGTTTGAGCGAGTTTGCTCAGGTAGGTGTTCTTAATTAGACTGTTTATGTAACGCTATCCGTAATGCCTTGTTACTGTGGCTGTGGTAGATGTCTGAAGTGCGAGGTCTGAGTTTAGTGAAGTCCATTTCATATGCGTCGAGAGAACATCTTGTGGGCTAGCGCCTCGCAGTTAGAGCCAGAGCGCGTATGTGGCCCGCGTAGACAGGCTGCTTGAATCTGTTAGCCACAGCGCCTGCACCCATCTCCGGTCGTCCTGACGCTGTGGAGCAGGAAAAAGTGCGGTAGACGTTGTGCAAGTCTGCACCTCGGTAAGCTGGTTCTCGCGCAAATCACTGTCCTCCGCTCATTCCATGAGGCATACAGTAAATTTCGTTTGAAACGATCGCGTTTTCATCCGTCTGTAATGCCTCCTAAATGCAAACTTATGGAGACTGTCTGGAATATGAGGTCTGAGCTTAGTGAGAGAGAGCAACACATGACCGAATGCCATGCTGGCTGCTGTCCAGTCGTTCATACACAATGAGTGAGACAGATGTTCTGGTAATTCATTGCGGCAGTTCATATCCCGTGGAAGTTGGCGGAAAGTGGGTGTCCTCTTCGATTCCATCGAACAAACGTTTTGCCTCTGGAAGGCGGTAATGCAGCAAATAACCAGACTCAAGTAATCGCCCGGATGAGTGGGCGTGGCTCTGTCGCATTAGCTAGCCTAGCTAATCATGATGCCAGCTGACGGGCAAGTTTATTATGCACCGCATGACTCGACCTTCGCTTCGTCCTGCTGGACCGGGCGCCGCCAGATGAGTCGGCAGAATCCCTCCACTCTTCTGTCGTATTTCACTCCAATAGACGACTTGGCCGTGGTTGTGATGGCCAAAATCCATCCGTTGTCCCAGGATGCTGTTTCCCAGTTCTTATTAGCAAGCGCCTTAGCTCGAATTCTAGTCCTTAACAGCTGTTTTATGTACTTTTACTCGGAAAAAAATTATGCTTACACTCTGTCATTTCGGCTTGCGAAGTAATTTAAATTTAACCGGACAGGACCGCTTGTCTCCTCTGTCGCCGTCGTGAGTGCTTAAGCATTTGAGGTTGGCCTCGTAAGGTTTATTTGAGTGAGTTAGGTGGGTGGAAATTTTGGGTTTATTCGACATCTTGGTGCGTTTTGCGATAAAATGAAATATAATTAAAAGTGACAACACCCATGTCTCCTACAGTGTTTACGTTCGCGTTCAAAATGTTCCGTTCAAGACGCCTTGCCCTCGTAAAATTGACCTAGCCTCCGGGCTCCGGGAACATAAATCTGGTCCCTCTGCAGACTAAGTTAAAGGAGAAGGCAGTACCGAATGGTATCGTTGAAACTTAGTCCTACTGGACGGCTGAGCGCTAGCATCTTGCGACTGCTTGTCTAGAGAATCCGAACCATATCCTGCAATTACATTACGGAAAAGATAACCAGAGGAGTACTCAGAAGTGCCGACCTCAATGGCGTAGGCTCCAAATACCGGCGACACATGAAACCTCCATCAATTTAGTCGCCCAGTTATAAGTGAATCTCGTGCAATGAGTACTTTTCCGCGGCATAAGTAACGGCCTCACTGCCGAAAACTCGGTCAGGGTCGTCAATGACCCATTTTTCACCCTTTTCCGCCTCCCTCCCCTCTCATCGAAGTTCATTCCTTAAATATCGCATGACTTCTCCCAGGAAGAATTCGAAGCTTCATCACTCAAGCCGCATAACGACAAGGCGCCCGGGGAAGACGGAATCTCTGACAAAGTCAGCAGGTCTCGTGTCAACGCCTGCGCTCTGGACAAGCGCACGAAAATGTGCTTGCTGTTGTTTATATGAACGTGGTCATCCTTTTGCTCATCTTCTGGAGGGGGGTGGAACGAGGTGTAAAAACCACCTTAGCATTGTTGGGAAGACCCTGTAGCGGTTAAGCAGTGTGAGTGTGTGAACTCAGAGGACTACAATAATCAGGCCAAATCCCATTTTGGAGGAGAAGACGGAAGACACGCGAATGAAGGGTCTATTGTCTGGCGACGGTGGACACTGACTGCGTCCAGTCATGCCTGGGAGTCCGTGAGACAGCTGCTTTTGTAGGCTCATTGGCGGCATATGTTGCATTCGCAGGCGGGTGGTGAGTTCAAGTGGCCCATGTGCAGCCGCGACTCCGTGGACGCACGTGCATCCGAGTAGAAGTCGGTCGAGTGACTGCAGATCGGTATGTTTGGATCCGTTCGCTGCAAAGATTAATGATCTTAACCCAACGGGACCCGGAACAAGGACGCCAGACATTGCCCTTTATGGCTTTCGGTAACAGTCCTTCCGACTGTCATTTTCCGAGTGTTTCAGGATGTAGGTGACGCGAATACGACATCCAACCAGACCGGTTTCCGGACTGGGCTTGGGTGCACTGGTCAAATACCCACACTGCCGCGCATTTTCGAACTCCGCCGTGGCCCGAAACTGTCTTCTTTGTTGATTTCAGCGCAGTGTTGACTTCTGTCCGTCGTAAGTCCCCTGGCGGATTATGCGACTGGGTGGTGTGCCGGCCGAAACCATTGTTGTGGTTGAGGCCCTCTATCGCTGTTCCACCGCTCGTAGCGGTCTCTGCTAGACGTTCGACGTTTCTTGATGTACACCGTGTTTGCGCCCTGTCGCACATTGTATTTGACTAAGTAACTGACTGCATTTTCGGGTGGAGCTCTGCGATTTTTGCACCTGATTGCCGGCCGAATAAGCTGACGGTATCCTCCCACCAGCATGAAGCTATCGTGACCCGTATAATTTAATGTCGCGGGATGATTGGACTTTTAAATCAGTTGGTTTACCCATCAACGCTTCGAATGCCAAAGTGTTTTTGGATGGAATCCCTGACTAAGATGAAATACCCTCCTATTAATTGCTGCCAGTTTCATATATAGCAGACGAAGTTGCCGCCAAATGGACGGAGTAGAGACGATATCTTCTGCCGAGTCGTTACTGTTGACAGGGTTTTGGCAAACGTTAGAAGACGCCTTTAGACACGTCACGATATCTCCGTAAGAATCCTGTCAGCCTCCCCCCACGGTTCTTAGTGCTGCGCCGTGCGCGTGGAGGTGAGCAAAAACTCGCGGTGTTCAACATTCGTCGCTCAAGAACGGTCCTTTAATTGGAATAACCCGTCTTCGTCCGGAAGGAGACAGTTTGCACCCTCTGTGACTACCGTTGAGGGGGTTTCGACGTCTGTGCTCGTCACTTGCTCCACGGTCGCAATGGCACTGTTTCGATCACAGAACGCCAAAACCTGGAGATGATTTTTTAGCCCTCAGTACCCGGTCTTCCTCGTTGGAATAAAAAAGTTGTTTGTGCTCCCTAGGTCCGCCGTGGCGTGTGATAAGGCACTATCGGCTGCATCGGTATAACCGGCTAGATCAGATCTGATCCAAACCGCACATGTTAAAAGTAATTTGAGGTTGCTAACGAACACTATCTAACGTGATCTTCTCAGGCCCTCGCGCCCCTTTTTGTAGTACACTTGTAACGTAGAAAAGAGAAGCCTTGTCGTAATTTTGTCTTTCACTCCTTACCGCCTGTTTTCTCTCTCCGCCTCACCTTTACCTCGATTAGCGGTATTTCAGAGTTTTTTATGTCTACTGAAGACTTTGCAGATTGTGGTGACCATAGCGAACGACGTCGACCACTGCGTGTCCCACGGTGTGGGCGCGAGACGGTAACTAGCTCGTGATTTGGGTTTGTGGCGGGGCGGACTTGCGCAGTATCTACCACGCTCACGCCTCCTTCACCCGTAGCAATACTGTGTCAAGACGGCCGGACCTAAACCCGGGCACAGTGGCTGACAGATTCAAACAGCCCGTCTGCGCGTGCCACACACACGACTAGTCCACACCAAGTGTGCCGGGGCTTCACGATATCGACCCGGATCTTATATCAACGAGTGTCGTAAAAGACCCAGTGAGAAGGATATATTGCTGCCTAACCCTGGGCCCTGAGGGAGACCATGTTATTCCATAGGTTGGCAGCCTCCCGAGCCACGACCCTCTAGTGCATCGGGATAGCTTCAAGCACGTCGGATTTATTATACTGAACGATGCGCTCATGTGCCGGAGGGGATGGATTCTCCAGCTTCGGTCTTGCTCTCTCTCTCCCTCCCTCTCGCTCTCTCTCTCCCTCCCTCTCTCTCTCTTCCTCTCCCTCTCTCTATCTCTCTTCCTCTCTCTCTCTCCCTCTCTCTCTCTCTCTCTCTCCCATGAACCAGTAGACTCCGAGCCTCTGCCAACGGGTGATGGGATTGGACGCAGTGGATGACGCTGCGCCAAGGCGTCCCATACATTCCCCCCCTTGCATAGCGGTAGTTACTGGCCTGTGCGAACTCTTCCCAGCTTGATTCACGCATGCCGTGAATCAGTCCGACCCCCGTTCTGATTCAGGGCCTCTACAGCATGGCCCATTGTGATACACTACATGAGAGCGAACGTGCGATCGCCCCGTCGCGTTCGTCCGGTTTTCTAAATGATTCCAGTGGTCTCCACACTCCACTAGTCTTCCTTAACTCTCTAACTGGCCGGGCCTTTGACGCAGTCACGTATGCCTTCACTCACGCTGAGTGCGGTCTCAGAGTACGGACACCGATGCATATTTAGGTGCTGTCAACCTCCGAATGCACTTCCCGTCTATGGGACGAATATCAAGTCCGTACTTCTCCGCTCGTTGGAAGTCCTTTTCGAAGCCATCTGCGTAACAGTATTCCTATCCGCACGGTCTGGCCCCCGTACGTGTGCAGTATTTTCATTCTACTTGAGTGGGATGGACGTTTTGCACTTGTTCTCGATCTGGGCCAGTCGCACTGAGCATAGGGTTTGGTTAGCTATTGACACCCACAGCCATCTTCCTGACCTCGGTCACACGGTCAATGACAACAAAGCTGGCCTGAGGCTGCTGAGGAACGCCGTTAGATCTGCGACGCTGCAGGAATCAGCGTCCGTAAATGAGCTATTGCCAAAAATCACCTCTCAAACATGTCAGTGGTGCCTTATTTCTCTTCTGCCCTGCACAGAACCCGATGAGAAAACCCTCTGTGAGTTGGCCCAGTCTGCGTACGACGAGACGCTTGCCAAGCATCACCCCTGGGTCGTACGAAACGCCGTCAACGTGGCCTTCCACGCTCTTCCCTACCGTCAGCAGTTTATAGAAAGCATGGTGGCAGCCCAGCCACCGGACAGTCAACTCACCACTGTTGACGCCTGTCGCGACTTCCTTCTGAAGCAGGGTATTCCTGCCCTGAAGAAGGCCTATGAGGTGACGGAAGCCATCTACAAGAAGTTCGACATGTTGGACCTACCCTAGCCAACCTCTGGGGGCGCTGGGTCTTCTTCCCTTGCCGACTGTGATAGACAACTTTTGACCGCCATTTTGACCTTTTTAGGTCTTAAACTTTTTGTACTACAGTTACCGGATGCAAACTACACGTGAATAACCGGTAAATCAGGTGAACGTGATCTTGATTGCTTTTTTTCTTTGGTTTCTGACGGTTGTTGTTTTTTAGTCCTATTTCGGCTAATAAATAATGTTATGTCTTTCTGCATGTCTTAATTTCACCCATGCGGCCTGCCTCGTAGGGACAAGGCGAACAAGAACTTACACTTACTTCAGATGGGGTTTCTGCAGTTATTCCATCCGTACCCCTGGACTAAACCAATCTTCTGACTAGGAGTAGGTATATAAATGCGTTCGTGAATAACCTGTAAACAGGAAGGGGCCCCACGTTGGTGGAGAAGACCGTAGTTTCTTACGAGAATCGGGTTCCAGCTATCATGCGGTCCACATAGTCGTTCTCTTTCCTTCTAGGCAAGCAGGGGTACTTGACGGAGTTAATACTCTCATTGGGTGACAAACTTCCCCCATGCGTCAAAGTCGGGTCTGATTCGGAAGAATGGCGTGTTCCATTGGACAGATGGTCACAGGAAGGTGGGGTAAGAGCCTTCTTGCGCTCTTTATGAATCGAGTTTTAAGTATCTACTCTCTGCGTCCTTCGTTTTTTTACTTGCAAATATGGTGCTTTGTACGTTATCCAAGGAAGGACCGGATTGCTCGTTGGGGCGAGCGAGTGCTGAACGAACTTCCTAACAACTAAATGACTGCATTCCTGCCCGGGCGACCGAGATCTCGAGCATCACCTACGGTAGAAATGAAATGTTGGTTGGGATTCTGGGGCGTGCTTTCGATTTGAAAAGATTACTTAAGTGGGGTTGCGGCACTGATTGTCGCGCAGCATAGTCCCGAAATATTCCGGGATGTTGGCCCTTGAATGAACGTCTCTCTCTGCCGTCTAAAAAGACTACGCTTTGTAGAAATGACTGTTTAAGTAGCGAGAATTTTTCCACCGATTTCCGATGCACTTATGCATTCAGATATACTTCGTGGAAATCATGCGCAGAAATATCCTTTCTTGCACTCATTTGGTGGCAAATTACGTCTTCTTCAAATGAAGGGTCATCTTTTTGACCCAAAAGGTTCCTACTTATGCATTTTTAAGACTATAAAATGTCTATTTATACAAAATAGCATCAGCCTGTTTATTTATGCTATTTTCATTGCACAATTCTATAGTTAGATAATTAGGAGCATTTGAGCATTTTATGCTACTTGTTTGAAACTAACTACTTCTGAGTGCAGGACTGCCAGAAACTACGTTTATATAGTTTTACATAGTTAGGTAAGGATACTTCCAAATCATATCTCACACAAACCTCAGATCTGCGCGCCCGCATAAGCAAGGGCTCTGTTGGAGGAACTTTTGAAGATTTTTCTCTATATGTTTTCCCTATTCATACAAGCGGTTTACGCTCCCATGTAGCTCAGGAATCCGAACAGCAGGCGTCGAGTGGGAAACTGGCGCACCAGTTAAATCCCGAATCACTCGTCTTCTGGCTGTCTGGATTATATGTTGTCATAGTCCAAACTAGGAGAAATAGTTTTCAACCCTTCCGAATATATCAGGAAGAACAGTGATGAGAGATAAGATTCATCAGTGTCACCACCACCACCACCATTTTCATTGCACAATTCTATGAGTGCCATAGGACATCTTACTAAGTCCAGAGGTGAATGGGTGGCATTCTTTTGACGGAATGTATACAGCATGTAGTTTAGAAGCACTGGGTACAAGTGTAACGGCTGGTGGAGCAGGAAATTATTTGGAACCCTGAGAAGTTTCTTCAAACCGAGAAATATCCTTTCCTTGAGCATGAAATTTGTACAAGACGTGGTTTTCTACCAAATGGGTATGAGAGAGAGTATTTTTGTGCATGTCTCGCATAAAAAATAATCGAATGCATAAGAGCATTTAAAATGAATGGGAAAAATTCACTACTAGCGTGATCGTTTTTTTCACAAAGTATAGCTTTTGGAGACCGCCGAAAATAAGCAAAGTCAAAAGCCACTATTCTTGGATGGCTGAAATATTCTGGGATTATGCTGCGCGACAACCAGCATTACAACCCTCCACATGTGATCATTTCAAGTCGAATGCACATGTCAGAATTTCCGGGTGTTGGTGTGTTTAGCAGTGGGTTCATGTGATGGTCGTGGTTGGTCGCTCACTTGCTTGCAGGTGCAGACTACGCCTAGCGTCCATTTGCTGACACCCAACTCTCACATGTGGCTCCTCAAAGCTAGGCTCTGTCCAGCGGCCACAACCCGGTAACCACCTCGACCGTCGGGCTAAACCAGGTGAGGCTATCCGTATGTGCACCTGCATACACGGTACTGTGGACTCCGCCGGCCGGATGGGTCTTTGCGTAGAAATCATCGAGACGAGTCTCCGCCTGGATCACCGCAGGAGGCCACGTGATAAATGAACCCACAGGTCCCAGACTAATTCGGGTCGTTCTCTCACTAACGCAAAGTCGTGGCCCACAGTGGAGTTCGGCAGCCGTCTGGAACAACCGAGCAGCCTCATCTAGGGGTGCACTGCTAGCCCCGCAAGGGAAAGGGGCTAGAAAAGGTGCCCTAAAAATTGCCTTAGCCACGCCGTCTGTACGTTGATTGTGGCCGCAGACAAAAACACACGGTCCAAACAGTCAAAACCGGAACAACAACAACCATCTCCCTCTTCCTGCCGCTTCTTCTTCTCCCCGCCGTCCCACTCGTCAGTCCGCTCGCTCTGGCAGCCTGCGCCCTCCCTCGTCTCCGGTCTTCTCGACTCTGTCTTTACACCTGGTCCAAGTGGGGGAGGGGAGAGGGTGTGGTAGATGCAGCGCAAGTCTACTCTCACTATAATCCTGCGCAAGTCACCGTGCCTGCTCCCACCCTGCTGTGGAGCCTACGGTGGACATCGTCGGATGCGACGTTCGAACTGTCGGGTCTCCATCTATATGCTTCTCAGGCAGTCGCATAGTGACCAGTAGTATATACACCCCTAGAAGTTTTCGTACGTCTTAGTTGGATTCGTTTGATTGACCGGGGTAAATCACCTTCTGACCCCCTTTTGACGGGTTGGAATATGGAACATCAAAGTATTTCTTCAGGTTTAAGTCTGGAGCAGAAATGACATCTCAACTATAAGAAGAAGTTGTAGCCCTTCAGCAACATCATCGAGCTGTTTTTACGGACAAAGTGGACCAATATATCATTCTCATCTTCTTATCTCTACTACTCTTGTTGACAAGCGCTGTGCGATTTAGGGCGGCTGAGATACTTAACCGAATTTAGGAGATCCCAGTAGATAGGCGAGATGACACTGAAGAATGGCGGAGTATGCATCTGTCGCTCCTGACCTCAAAGCGCGTCGTTTATGCCTATAATTGGAAACAGAGTGTGTGGTCTGCCGGGTGAGGACTAGTCGTTTTGTTGGATCAACGAGCTCGCAGATTTTTGGAGCTCGGCTGGTATCTGTGAGCACACGAAGTTGTTTTCAGCAGCGCAGCGAGGGTTCTGACGTGCCAACTCACGCAGTGAATTTCTGCGGCAAGGGGTAGCCCAGGTCTTACTGTCGGGCTCTCGGCACCGGATCACGAACTGTTTAAAAACGAAGAGTGAAACCGATACTGCTCAAGTGCACCCCACGATCACACAATTCACCCACCACTCGCATGCACTCGCCACCCACACCGACAAAGCCCCACCCACAAATATCCACCAGAGACGATGGTGGTATAACACCACGCTATGCCTGACTTCGTTCTGTCTGTCGAAGTCGAGACGACCCTTGAATTTAAAGAATTACGAATGGAGCTCTGAGGTGTAGGAATACAATAAACCCTTCGCTGCAGTCCCCAAGTATACCTTCGAATGGAATATATGACTCAGATGAGGTTGCTGTACTGCTTGGTATTCACTGCAATATCGAGCTAATTCCCAATTCCCAGGGTTGGCTTCTCTCTCCTACCTCTCCTCAGCCTAGCTACTGGAGATTACTCATGACTGCCCTGAATTATTCCAACTTCATTTCGACGAAAGCCAATTTACTGCGGCGCAAGCCGCGAATGACGCAGCGCGTCATTACTTAATCAGTGCTGCCCTCTATAGCTGCGTTCACAGGAGAGTGACTCCTCTAGATAAGTGAATGAGCCCACGTAAGGCAACTCATAAGGTATGACAAAACGGAATCGCACTAGCATGACCTGTACTGATGGCATGCCTAGCGTCGGACCCGGTTACGCCAGTCACCTTCGCCCTCTCCTGCCTCCTCTGAAGGGGGGGGGGCGGAGGAGAGACTGCGGTGATGCAGCAGCGCAAGCCTACTATCACTGTAAACTAATTCACGCACGACTCACCGTCCCTGCTCACACTCTGCTGTGGAGCACACGGTGGACGTCGTCGAAATCAACGGTCAAATTGTCACTCTGTCGGTCGGGAAACTTGATTGGTGAAGGTCACAATGTTGTCCACTCCTCCTACTGTTCTTTCTACCTCTCCTTCATATTCTCCGCCCCCCGTTGCTCCTCACCTACAACTGACGTCATCTCACTAGTCGGCCGCCATCTCACAGAACGCAAGCACCCTGGGTAGTGCGGTTGTTTTGGCATCAATAATCAGCTGTTTTTCACGTTACTATTTGCGCATGTCAGGGTTCTGTTGATGCATTGATCAGATAAGCCCGCTTCCTGACTCAAAGGTGTTAAAACCCTGGATGACAATTTTTTCTGACACTGATAACCTTTTCCGAAAAGACTATAAACCACATGGTCGAGCATAAACTACTGATTTCTTAGTGCCTAGTGGTCATACTTTGATGTCGACTTGTCCGACACTCAGTTACTATAAGTCTATCTGGGTCCAATTGCCTCAGCCTGTTCGAGCGTTCTGTCAAGTGCGCTTGTTGTTCTGGGCTGAATTTTCATACC